CAAATGGTTTTTGTTACTTTTTTGGGAAATACAATACCGAAAACGGTAAAAATTAACATGGTAAATTTCGTAGTTGATCCGTATATTTATCCGGTCGTCCAATGTTTTAATTGTCTTCGATATGGTCACACAAATAAGCAATGTAAAGGGAAACGCAAATGCCAGAATTGTAGTCAGCAAAACTGTTCATCTGAGAATTGTGAAAATGAAAAAATTTGTGTACATTGTAATAGTCCCGATCATACTTCGATATCTAGAGAGTGTCCTATGTATCAAAAACAAAAAAACATAAAATCAATTATGGCTGTGGAAAATACATCCTTTAAGGAAGCCGAAGCTATAGCTAATAACCCATCCTATGCTAAAATAACAACAAAAAACAGATTTTCATTACTTACAACGGAGGAGAATTTTCCCTCCCTTCCAGATACAAGTACTAGCTCTAGAAGTCAAAATAATTTAACTAACCCTAATAAAAAAACAACTATAATAAAAAAAAATAAATTACAGAAAACGACTGTTCTGCCTCTTCCTAAAAAACGAAAATCGTCATCTCCCCTACAAAGTCCTTCAATTGAAATCTATCAGAGTAGACCCTCCTATCCCTCTCAACCAATAACCCCCAACCCCTATAGGGAAGAATATTTAAAATATAAAAACATTAAAGAATATATAATCGAAAACATTATACAGTGTGTTCACTCACTTTTAGTTAATGAACCAACATTTAAAGGAGTTACCAATCAGCTTGATAATAATATAAGAGACAAAATATCTACAATCTTAGAATCAAATAGCGATATGGATTTCAGTGACAATGAATCCGCTAAATCCTCTTACTGAAACATTATCAGTTTTGCAGTGGAATTCTCGTTCCATTGTAAAACAACGCCCTAATTTATTACATTATTTATCAAATAATAAAGTAAATGTTATTGTTTTATCTGAGACCTGGTTTAAAAAACACAGCAATTTTTATATCAAAGGATACAATTTAATTAGTAAAGATAGAAAAGACGAACACGGAGGAGTAGCTATTCTCATTTCTGAAAACATCACATATAAAGAAATTCAAATAAACACGTTATATAATAAAAAAATTGAAGTGTGTGCAGTTGTTCTTGAAAAAACAAATTTAACAATAGTAAGTCTTTACAACTCATCAAAAAATAACAAAATTACTCCAAATGAATGGGAAAAATTATTATCATTTTTTCAACCTCCCGTACTTATATGTGGAGATTTTAACTGTCACCACACTTTGTGGGGAAGTAGCCTGAATGAATCTAGTGGTAATTCTCTTGTTGACGCAATTGATAATCTTAACTTAATAGTATTGAATGATGGATCTCCTACTAGAATTTCCCGACCTAATTCTCCACCTTCAGCAGTAGACCTTACTTTGGTTTCAGCCGATTTAATTGGTAATATTGAATGGGAAGTTCTGTCTGACACTATGGGATCAGATCACTTTCCAATTTCTATAAATATTACAGGGAACTTTAACACGCCTAGTATTAACCCAAGTACAATGTGGAACGATAAGAAAGCTGACTGGTACAAATTTCACTGTTATATAAATAATTTTTTAATAGAAACCGAAGAACCCTGTTCCTTTGAATATTTTTCAAACATATTAACACAAGCTGCCGATCTATCTATGCCCCAAAAAAAACCTTCAAATAATCCAAAAGCCCTACCCATTTGGTGGGATGATGAATGTTTACAAATAGTTAAACTTCGAAAAAATATTCTTAGAAAATATAAACAAAAGGCAAACCTAGAAAATTTTATTGAATATAACAAAATTTCAGCACAAACAAAACTTTTATTTAAAAATAAAAAACAAAATAGCTGGAAACAATTCATAAGCAGTTTAAATAAAAATACACCAATTTCCGAAATATGGAAATACATTAAAAAAATTTCTAACAAAAACTTTACAAGTAATAAAACAGTTCTACCACAGGATCTAATAGAAAAGCTATTTGAACGAATAGCTCCTCCATTTGTAGTTAATGAACCCAAAATATACTCATCAGAAAATTACGAAATACAAAATAATGTTTTGTCTGGCCCTTTTTCTATAGAAGAACTTGATTCTGCGATTAAAATTTCACGATGTACTTCTCCGGGGAAAGATAGTTTCAGCTACAACATGATCAGGAACTTACCCGAAACAGCAAAAAAATACCTTTTAAAAATATATAATGAATGGTGGATAAATGGTAAATTTATTCAGGAATTCAAAGAAACCATACTAATATTCATATTAAAACCAAAAAAAGATCCTAATGATCCCACTTCATACCGTCCAATATCATTAATGTCATGCTTAGCAAAAACATTCGAAAGAATCATAAAATCTAGATTAGAATGGTTTCTAGAATCTAAAACACTACTTCCTCCCTCTCAATACGGTTTTAGAAAAGGCAAAGGAACTGCAGATGCCTTAATACATTTAGTGTCTGATATTCAAAATACCTTTTCAGATAATGGATATCTTGCTTGTTTTTTCGTAGACCTCAAGGCTGCCTATGATTCTGTTAATTTGGACATCCTAGAATCAAAATTAATTTCTTTAGGGCTACAATCAAATGCTTCCGCCAATATTGTACAATTATACAGAAACCGCAAAATTTTTATCAGAGACCACGCTAATAACCTACATGGGCCAAGAATTGTAAACTGTGGAATTCCACAGGGAGCAGTTCTGAGCCCACTACTCTTTAATATCTATACCCTAGATTTGCATAAAATATTTCATCAAAATATTAGAGTTGTTCAATATGCTGATGATATCTGTATATATACAATCCACAAGTCTTATAACCAATGTATTAGTGATCTGCGTTATATAATGTACTGCCTCCAAGGATGGTTAAACGAGCATTCATTGGATTTATCCCCGAACAAATCGGCGGTGATGGTTTTTACACGTCATCGGCTGGTTATGGGGGATACAATCAAATTATGTGAGAATTACATTCCCGTTACAGATAATTACAAGTATTTGGGTGTCTTTCTTGATAAAAAACTAACTTGGAAAATACATATAGAACATATTAAAAGTAAATGTGAGAAAGGTATAAATGTTTTAAAATGTGTGGCTAAGAGGAATTGGGGCGCCGACCCCACAACCTCACTTTTGTTTTACAGATCCTATATACGATCTATAATTGACTATGGATGTATTATTTACGGATCCGCATCCAACTCTAATTTATTAATTATAGACAGAATTCAATTAAAAGCAATAAAAATTTGTTTAGGTGCGTTTAAATCGTCGCCCTCGCCGGCAGTTTTAGTAGAGGCTCAGGAACCTCCCCTTTCAATCCGCAGACAATTTTTGGCCCAAAAGAAAATAATAATGTTAAGGGTTTCATCTTGTGAATACATAACAGATTCCATATATAAACTATCTATCGATAACCTCATAAACAAGTATTGGACATTTAAAAACAGCCCTCCTTTGGCAGAAGCATTTGTTTCTACTAACCACCTAGTAACAAATATTAAAAAATACAGCCCTTTAGTTAATACAAATTCTGAATATTATAAAAATTTTTTTAAACCAACAGTGATTACTAAAAAATTTTCAGATATTCCACTAATAAATAATTTCATTTTAAAAAATATACTTACTAGTTTTGAAAGATATAATACCATCTTTTGCGATGGTTCTAAGTCCCAAAAGGGAACTGGTTGTGGGTTCTATGTTTCCAATCTTAATCAAACATCTAAATTTAAAATATCGGATATATGTTCTGTTTTTACGGCAGAAGCAAACGCAATTTTACATGCGCTGAAATGGATAGAAAATAATAACGCTGGTAATTCCGTAATTCTAACAGACTCATTGTCGGTATTACAGTCTATCAAAAAACATCCTACAAACACAAATTCCAACCACTTAGTAAAACTAATAAGAGAAAAACTCATCAACCTTAAAAATAGTGATACAAATATAGTTTTTTGTTGGGTTAAAGCTCATGTGGGAATAGTTGGTAATGAAATGGCAGATCTCGCTGCAAAAGATTCCACAAACTTAGAGTATTGCGAGGAACTTTACACGGTTCCCGATATTATCAATTGCTTTAAAAAAGAAATAAGAATCAATTGGGAAAAGATCTGGATTGATTTCAAACATAACAATAATTCAAACAATCATTACACACAAATTCAGCCTAATACATCTAATACTGTTTCCCACATTTCTGAATTTCAAGTATCCAGACAGTATTCTATTTACATTACTAGGATGAGGTTGAACCATGGTGGGTTTCCTTCCCACCTATTTAAGATCGGGGTCCTAAGGACACCCTTCTGTTCTTGTGATAATAATTCAGTAGGAGATCTTAATCATTTGATATTTGCATGTAACAACCACAATAAATATAGAAAAAATTTTTTAACGAAGTTATTAGATATAGGGATTTCTTTTCCAACCAATATTACGTTGCTATTGATCTCAAACAATAAAAAAGTATTTAATACATTGATAACATTTATTAAAGAATCTAAAATTAACATATAAACCAATAACAATTAACAATCAGTGGTAACAATTGTAATAAAAATAATAATGTCTGTGGCAAATGGGTTAATCCCGATGCCAGTCAACCACTGCACACACACAAGGCCCACGATATTCGGAGCAAACGCAAGGAATGTCGCATACATCTTGATGACTTTTTGGCCACTATGCCGTCGAAATAGGATTCTCCAGGGGCGTTACGTCGCATAAGAAAAGTAAATAATGATAGGATTTGTAAGAATCTTGACTATATATTGCTATCCTACTGACTGCGCCAAATTATTGTCTCGAAAAAAATATCCGTACGTTGATCTATTTTGATTTCCAATTTGCGACATTTTAAGGTGTGATATCTTTCTCAAAAATTACCAACTAGACTTATAAAACAAGTTTCTCAATAAAAACAAACTCAAAACTCACCAAATTGTAATAGAAATTGTAATTATCAGCCAGAAGCACTTACCACCTGTAACAAAAATATTAAAAAAATGTTATACATTAATATAATAATAAAATAAAGAAATTAAGGAAGTGTGTAAATTTGATTAGCATTCACACATTTGAAACTAACTTCATTCATTTTCTTTGTATATCACTGTGTATACACCAACTTTTGATTAATAATAAAATATACAGGTAGCAATAAGAAAAATAGAATTTGTTTATAATAATGTACAAAATCAAAAATAATAATGAAGAAGAGAAAAAGAAAAATAAAAAAAAATAGTGAGAAAAAGAGGTTATATACGCCGACACTCGAACGGCGGATGTTATTATTGAAATTTTACAGAAAGTTTCACGACACTTTAAAACACACTATACACAATAATTTTGGATCCGGTGACACAAAAAAAAATTTTTAACCTTAAAATCCTTAAAATTTGTTGTCGTAAAACAAATTTAAAAAAAACCATTTTCACTGATTTCTTTTTGTAGAAACGGTTAAATATTATATTAGAGAAATTAGAGAACAGATTTTGAAAGTTTTAAGGTAAGAAAAAAATATTTAATAGCGTTTGTAGGGCAAAAAACGTATTTTGAAATATGTTTCAGAGAGTCTAAAATGGTCTAAAAAAAATATCCGGTTCGACCGATGGCGGATTTAAAAGACTAAAAGAAAAATAAGAAATTATGTTGCATCTTCCAGATATGCAGATCAACTTCTACTCTACCGACAGCAAAAGTGCAGTGTTATCTGCAAATGTAGATTATATATTATGCTCTGAAATACAAAACATGCTTTTGCGTACGTCTATGTGTTGGGTCGTTTCGAAAATTGGTATTTGGAAGCCAGCTCGGCATTACAACGGCTCTGATGGTCTAGAAAGCCCATAACGCGAATATTTTTATTCTCAAAGTGCCTCTATAGAAGTAAACTGAAATATCCTATGGTTCAGAATAAAGGTGAAATCTAATAAAATATGTTTCTTAAACTAAATACGGTATTACGAATTTGATAGAATATAAAAGAAAAACTTCGTGAATTTTTTTGGACTATAATAGTCTGATAATTTTATTATTATTATACTTAATACCCAAAAATCATTATCTTAATAATATAAAAATCAGAATATGTTTGTGCGAAATAAATAAATCGTTTATAAATAATAAAAATAAGTTAACCCTAAAGTCATATATTTATGAATGTATAGCTATTATATGAAACAAACTACTTTATATTGTTAAATACGATTTTATACATTCTTTAACATCTTAAGAGGACCCAAATTATTTTTAATTAGGAAGATCCATTTGAAAATATTTTGTGGCTATTAATATTTCATGTAATGGATGGAGACATAATATAAAAACACTGCACTGTTTCAAACTATCTAAATTTATTATATAAATATAATTTTACACCATGACAAAATAAACATGTGTACAAAAAGAGTGCCTATGTTGCCTTAACCATATATTCTTTAAGACAGTTGCTCAGTCTTTTGTTGCTACTGTTTATGAAAAAAATATCACCGAGCTATATTTATAATTTTTTTTATAAAAGTTAAAATTAATACTCTAAAACAGAAAAACATAAAAGATCCATAAGCTATACAAAATTTCAAAATTATTTTCAAAAATAAAATTGGCAAACATTTCACAATATAAAATCTGTTAACCCAAATATGCAATAATTATAGTTCTATATCTTTTATTACAATGTCAAAATTATGAAGGAATCTGGAAAGAAAAATTTAAATGAATACATCGGTAAGCATCAATTATTGTCAGAGAGGCAATTTGGAATCCAGGAAGGGTTATTAAGGATCTTGGTCTCCTTAATCTACAATTCCATTGATAAAACTGTTGCATTATTGTACCTAGATCTAGCGTTTGATACTGTAATCCATTCACAAATGTTAGATGTCTTGGATATATTGGATGATGCATGAATACTGAGACTCCAATATAAATGGTTTCCGACTGATATCGCCCAAGTTTCAGAAGCCATTAGAGTTGGATTTTCTAGAGATGACAATTAACTTTTATATTAAAGATAATATAAGAATGTTTTTTAATAAACTAGTAGGTAAGGCAACTCTAGTTATAATACGAGGCGTGAAACAAAAAAATTATTTTCATTTAAGGTTCAAAAGTTATAAAATGTAACCGTGGACCAATTATAAGATTATTTAAAACACCAGACCTGCTTGATTTTGCAATAACGAAAAGCATATAAGAACTTATCGTATCTCCTTCACAAAATATTAGTGAAAAAACAACCCACGTATATTTTTAATAAGATTTTCAATCAGTCAACCATACACAAACGAAACACTCGCTACAAACATCATAGGTTTGTTCCAACACGCGCGAAAACCGTAATATTACAGTACAAATCATGCGCTCCACCCAAAAATTGTATATAGCGCATGATTTGTACGGTAATATTACGGTTTTCACGCGTGTTGGAACAGACCTGATATTAATACACCCAAACACTGCACTGAAATATTTAAACGTTCCTTCACGTACCAATAACTATAAAAAATAAATCAATCCAATCATTTAAAAAAGCATTGAAATTAAATTTACTCTCTGGGATATAATATTATTGTTGTTGTTTTATTTCTTCTTTTTTATTATTATTAATAATATTAACATTATTATTACCACTACCCGTTATAATTTTATAATTTTAAAATTATCGCAATTACTAACATGTGTTTTTAGAACCTAGGATTTTTTTCTTTGTATAGCTTAAGATAAAAACAAAGGTTGTATTACGTGAAATTAATTTCAAATTTATTTTTAACAACAACTACTCCATAACCCCTCGTAACACAATTTAAACGACAACCGCTCGCTTCTCAAGATTTGCAAAGTATGGTTTGCGCAGGTGCCTAGCGTTTCTTTCGGCATCCATGCTGAGATAAAACCGACTGGTTTTGGTTTAACCGAGTTCAAAAACTTCAATATGGTAGTGTGCTTATTGTGTGTTAACGTTAGGATTATTGTCAGGTAATGTTTCTTTCAACTTATATTTTAACACTTTGATGGATTCAGTTGGAAAGCCGATAGATCGGCCATTTTCTTTTTTCATTACCATCATGCTGACGAGTGCCGGTTATTATTATGGTTTTATTTTATATAGATTATAGCTACCCTACCTAATAATATTTTTAAGCTTTCTTTGATATATACGCGGGGAGGCAACTAAATAATTGAATTACAAGTCAGTCTGGGAATACAGTTTAAACGGAAATCTATGGCTCTTAACTTATTTTGTCCTTATAAATAGTTTATATTTTATATAGATGATGTAAATCTTATAATTATAACTTATTTTGGCTTCATAAATATTTTATGTTCTGTTCAGATAATGTAACTTTAATATTTGTCCTAATATTTTATATTCTGTTCACACGATATAACTTTAATATTTGTCTCGTTTATGAATAAGCCCGTTAGATTTCCAAACTGGCATGTAAATATATTATTCCTGTTACTAAGGTTCTTTTTATTTCTAAACCTGTAGTGGCTCCAAGTCCAATTCTGAGTTACGTAGTTTCTCCAAGAAGTCCGAGTTGCGTAGTTTCTCCAAGAAGCTCCGAGTTACATAGTTTCTCCAATTCCAAGCTCTAAGTAGCGTAGTTTCTCCAAGTTCCGAGTTCCAAGTGCGAGCACCAAGCTCTAAGCTCCGAGGTACGTAGCGTCCAAGCTCCAGGTTGTGTAGCTTCTCCAAACAAGCTCCAAGTATCTAAGTAATAGCTCCAAGTAGATCCGAAGCAACTCCATGTAAAACCAAGTCTAGACATATCTCCAAGTTTCGACATACGACAGGGAAGTGCCACATGGTCGAGACAATTAAATATCTATTCAACTTCATTTAATTAATTTTTTTTTAATAGTCAATTTTAATCCATCTTTCAAATTTAATTATTAATTTATTGTATAAACTCATCCTTTTAACTTTTTTTACTCAATTAAACAGGGCATATACAATCAGATAAGTTTTCCAAAATACTCAAAAACTTGGTGGCGCTCAACATTTTTGTCGTTAACGTATTATAATATCTTTCATTTTATCGTAAAGTAGACTTTGGCCCGCGAACAGGTCAAGCTACTCTGACTTTATTTGTCCTGGTCAATTTATAAATCCACGCAGTACCAGCAATTTGGGCTAAATCACCTCTTAAGAACAATTGACATCGTAGAAATCAAAAAGAAGGTAACAGTTGTATCTATGTTTCTTTGAAACATATGACAAATCCACCTTATCTTCGGCATTTCTTTCTTACAACCTATTTCAATTAATTGTTTAATTAATGTAATTTTGTTATTATGGATGTAGAAAAAAATGAAGCTATTATTATTATTATTATTAATTTTACCATATAATAGACCCAAACCATGACCTATCTTCTGAACATAGTCTTATTAAATTAACAATAAGTACAAAAAAAATAATTATTCTAACTGGGAACTATTTGAACGTCATTAGAATGAAGTCATTCTTTATAAATATGAATCGAATAAAGGAATTTAGAAAAATAATTTTTATTCTCCCTCCTCCGCTTGTAACCAGTTACCCGCGCTCTATTTAAAACATTCTTATATTAACTCTAATACGAAAATTAATCTTCATCTCTACAAAATCCAACTCTAATTGCTTCTGAAACTCACGCGATATCATTCGGAAACCTGTTTGAAAACTACAGACCGAAGAATTTTCATTTCTATTTCAATATCTCCTTCCAACTTACGTAGCCGACCTCGTTTTTTGTTACGCTCAATTGTCTCGAGAGATAAAAGAGTCTCAAACTTGATTTTAGACGTTCATTCCAGTCTTATCGTACCTACTCGACTGGAGTTAACTTTTGAGTTTATTACTCGAAGGATTTGAATTTGGTCTCGGTTGGAGGCGATGCGTGGATGGAATAAGCGACAACAGCTTTGCTAGTGTTAATAAATATTCTCTGGACGAATATAGGTAAAATTAAATGCTGTCCAGAAGAGGCAGAT